TTTGCAGGCCTAATTTTATTTCACTATTTAAACATTGAGTGTCAGGTAGGCTCTGCTCTGCTCTCCGTATGATTTTTATGTGTTGCTGTATGCATGCCGTGTGTATGTATGTGTTTGATTTTTATTCATGCGGGCTTTGTCCTTTGTCCCAATCAGTTTGTATGATTTGCAGTCAGATTTTCTCTGTAACCAGTTAATGGGTGAAAAGATCTTCCTCTGTATAATTTTTAAAATGCCAACCATGGGGCCTAATTACTTAAGGAATATAATGAATTTCAGATCCCACTTACGATCCGTCAGCATTTGAGGACAGTGAAAGATGTTTTCTGCACGAACACTGTGCACCTCCAGTCTTTTGCTCATGGACGGTGTCTGTGGGTCCCAGTCTCCCTTTCCTCACTGCCTCCTGACACCTCGCACCTGCCCAGGAGGCCCGGCCTGCTGGCGCTGTGGGGTGGAGGAGAGGGGGCTTGCGCATTGATGGGGGCGCCTGCTGGGGCCAGTGCGTTCTGGGTGCTGCAGGCTGGACACATGGCAGGAGCTCCCCAGATGTGCCCTCCTGCAGCTCGTGATCCCTGGGGGAGCAGGCCTAGAACTGAGAAGGGGACTTGTGATACAATGCTTTGGGGCGGTAACCGCGGTAGGGGAGAGCAGCAGGGTGGGGCAGGGCCCACAGCAAGTCAAAGGCGGCAGGGGAAATTCTTTCTTTTGGAGTATACCAGAGACTTGTTGTCCACTTCAGATGAAGAACCAACTGTAGTCCAGACAATGAAGGTGTTTCCTAGTCCAAGAAATTAAAGAGGCTTTCTGGAAAGGTGGGCACGTGTGCCCAGGCACATCCTCAGATTGGGGGAGCCCCCAGGCTCAAGGTGGTTTGGGGGGAATAGTGGATGTATTTGTGAGTGGTGAGTGCTCACCCCCCTCCCCCCACTGTCCTCTTACAGCTGGGCAGGGACGAGAAGGTTCTGGAGAGCTGCTTGAGCCTGGGTGGCCACCGAGCCCCTGTGGTCACCGTGGACTGGAGCACGGCGATGGACTGCGGGACCTGCCTCACTGCCTCCATGGATGGCAAGATCAAGCTGACCACCCTCCTGGCCCATAAAGTGTGACGGGGATGCCTGGAGGACTTCCTCAGAAGCAGAAGGGTCCTGGGCGCAGGGAGAGATGGGACAGGAAGACGCGGCGCTCCACTTCCAGCTCCCAGCCAGGGCCCGGAATCTTCAGGGAAAGGCTGTTTGGGGGCTCGGGACGCTGTCCTGCGCAGTGACGGAAACGGGAGCCCCATGGAGTGGTGGCACAAGTGCCCCGGAGACCAGCACCCCGGGCTGTGCAGACAAGCAGGGGGATGGCCGCTCTGCCGGCCCAGGAGAGATGGACAGTATTTTGTATATATTTGCGCAGTTTTCTTCTTTTTCAAAAAACAAAAACAAAAAAAGAATGCCCCAGTGGTTACCTGGTGTCCTTCTGCAATGTGTGTGCAGCAGAGTGTCTCCCTTCACTCTGCACCCGGGGGGGTCAGTTGTGAGCCGGGGTCTCCCCTGCGCCCCGCGCCCCGGCTTCACCAGCTGTGGGCGGAGCCCTGCCCCATGTTTTCCTGGTGCTCCTCTGTGGGAGGATGCCCTCTCTTCCTGGCTGAGGTTTGTATTGCTCCTGTGTCTTTGGGCCGCAGGCAGGAAGGCCATAGCATTTCTTCTGTCCCCTGAGAGCTGGTAGCTTCTGTTACAGGAGCTTCTCTGACCGGGGCGGGCTCCGACCTTCCGCTCCTGGCTGCCCCTCTCTACCTGGTGGCTGCGCTTTCCCAGTACCTGTGTCGCTGGTCCTGTCTTTCAACTTCACCTCCTTGAGGTTGAATGGCGCCCCCTGCCGGCGCCCTCTGCTGGTGAATGGCCCGCCGACTGGATCAAGTTGGCCAAGTTCATCCCCGTGTCCCCAGCCCTGCAGGTGGCCTGCCTTGTGCTTCGTGGCAGGGGTGGTCCCAGACACTCTCACGGGGGGGAGGAAGAATGAGGGAATGGCTCCCCTTCTCCCACTTCTGTTTCCCTCTGAGGCAGGGAGGCACAGTCAGCTGCTAATCCTGCGGTGGGATTTCAGGCCAGCGCCTCAGGCTCCAGCACTTAACAGGAGCAGCCTTGTCGGCCAGCTGCCAGGAATGGTTATTATAGAGCCTCTGTGGGCTGCAGCCCAGTCACGGGGTGCCAGTCTGGGGTGGGGGTGGTGTACTCCCAGTTCCCTGCTTTTGGAAAACCATGAATGAATTGGTACAAAGCCTTGCCTCCATTCTGCTGAGAGTTCAAGGGGGAAAGTGGGGAAGTGGCTCAATTATGAGAAAACACCAGAGACTTACTATAAGTCTACATTCCTACCAATGTCTACCCTGATAATCCTCCCTCGGAAGGAAGAGAACTCAGACTTTTGCATTTGTAATTTCTCCACCTTCTGCATTAAAGCAGCAGCCTCACCCACACCCCTCAGTGACCCTGGCAGCCCAGCGACACCTGTCACGTGTGTTTCACTTGAGTGGGAGAACTCATTATTTAACTTTTCTCCCAAGTTTTTTTCCCAGTTTCTGCCTTATTACCCATTCTCTCTTCTCATTACGGTCCCCACGGCTTGCTGAAACGTTTTTAAGGATGGCGGAGAAACAACACTTAAAGGCTGTGTCTTTCTCTCATTTCCTTTCTGCTCTGGGCTGGACACCCACCCCTGTCTTGTCCTGAGCATGGCTCACACCTGGGTGTGACCGAGGCTCCACCAGGAGGGGTGGTGGAAGGTGCCGAAAAGCGCCACACCAAACCACCACATTGCCTCACAACACAGCCAACACACAGTAAACCTCCGACCTTCGAACTCAGTCAATATGGTATTGTGTGCTGTGGGCAACCCCGTTCCCTCTTGGCCTGTGTCTCTCTGACCTTCTCTCTGCCCTGAATGCTCTCTTCCCTGTGGTCGCCTGTCCCACCCAGCCCTCTCCAGGATGAGCTGTTGCCCTGCAATAAAGCATGTCAAAACTCAGACTTACCTCTCCTCCACAGTACCTGCTCATCATCTCCCCCAGGCCCCAGCAAGACTCTTCCATTATCTTGGGCAAAGGCAGATAAAAGAAACCAGCTAGTCTGACCTCAGGCCCTGGAGCCAGCTTAGCCAGCGCAGGTGGGGGCCTGGCTTGCTGAGGGCCTGGGGGGCGGGCCTCCCCCTCCCAGTCCTGGAACCTGCCTGTGCCATCTGCTTCCACTCTAAGGTCTCAGGGTCCCTGAGCGCACACTAAAAACACTTCCTGAGTCAACTCCAATGCATCCAAGTCCCACACTGAAGGTTCATTCCTACTTGGGCTTCTCACTTTCACACAGAAAGCCTCTTGTACAGACGCACAAGTTTTACACTCTTCAGGCCTCATTTCTCAGCTGGCTGCAAGAAGACGTTTTAAGGGGACAGATACGGCGGGGGTGGTACTACTAACAGTAACACATAACAATGCATCTCCTCTTCTGATGAGAGTTGGGTTTGTCCTGGCTCACAACTTGTCACAGCAGATCCCAGAGGTTGGTGGCTCTGGTACCTTCAGGGAAATGGGAAAAGCTGTCCCTACCCGTGTGGGTTGCTCTCCAGAGGCAGAGCCCAGGTTTAAACCAATGCTGGGCAGGTTGGATTTGCAACTTGATTTGAGTCCTTAAGCCTTGATTGGTTTATTCTTTCCCAGCCTGCCTACCTAGGATTGAAAAGAATGTTCTGGAAGAGAGTTGAAGGTGCTTTGGAGAAACCACAGATACCGTACAGGTGGAAGGGAGAGTTCTGGTTCCAGGGGTGGGTGGGTCCCCAAACTTTAGATCGAGCTCCCCTATTGTGCATCTCTCGTACAGCTGATTTATTGTAAATCACATTTCAAACGGCTGTCTTGATAATTTTGCATTTGGGGGGACAATTTGTCCATTTTGATAATTCTTTTGCCTCAAACGCAGTAGGGGAAGGTCTACTTGTGACTGCTTGTGCTTGTGTTTTGAGTCACCTGCGCAACTTGCTGGCCTCTCTTAGGCTGCTTTAAGCCGAGAGTGCGATTTTTTATTACACCGCAGGTGTAACATGCAGCGCTCAGCATCCAGCTGAACACAAACCAGCGAGCACACCTGGGCGGCTCTGTGAGTCGCCTTGTTTACAGAGGGAATACCTTGACGGCCAATCTGAATAGTAAATATTAGTAAGACACCTACTCCCTTTACTCCAAGATCAACACAAACAGTGGCTTGCATTTCTCTTCCTGCACTCTGGACACTCACCTGACACCCCTCCACCTCTCTAATTTCTGATTCAGGGGCCCCAGGAATCCAGACTTGGACAAAGACCAGCCAGCGAAACTCAAATGGAACAACATTTGGGGACAGTTGAAAGAAAACATATTCTGTTCAATAAAAAATTTTCATGACACGTCAAAGAGCAGTAAGGCAAACCTTATTCCAGGGGGGTGGGCACTACAGTGGGGCTTTTGTAGAGGGGGAGAAATTGTGCTCAACTCCTAAAGCAATAGAGAACAGTGGGGATTAGCTGCCAAGGAGCAGATTGGGGGTCAGTAGATGGAAAATTAATACGAGGAAATGTCAGGGGTAAGGGGGGATTCTGGCTAAACCCACCTAAACTGACCTAACGGGATTCATGCCTGGGGGTGATCGGACATCACCTGGGGGCAGGGGGCAGGGAGTAGAGGATGACGAACACCATCAGATTCTAGGGTGATCAAATATCGAGGGTGAGGGACTCTGGATAAACCAGCCTAGCAGGATTCTTGCCAAAATTGGACGATGTGGAGATGAACACGGAAGTCCAAAAGTCAGGGCCCGGTAGAGAAAGTTCAGTTTGGTTAAAGAGAAACTGTCAGGACCCAGGACAGCGGGGGTCGGCTTCAAGCTTCCGCCCGTCGGGAGGCTGCAGACACGGCGAGCTGCCTGCAGGGGGCGCGCCCGGGCCACAGCGCGAGCCGGCAGCCGGAGCCGGAAGTGCGGAGACAAGCCCCGGCCGCGCCGGAAGCTAGGAAGTGGGCGCAAGCCTGGGAGGCAGGACCCCGCGTGGAGACACACGCTGTCCAAGACTGGACTTTGCCTATTGGCTGGCGGCGGCCCGGTCCCACCCGGAGCTCTAGGGCCGCGGCGGGCGGCTTCCCGCGGGTCGGGAGTAAGCGATCGGGGCGGTTCCCGTAGCCAGCGAGGCCCGCGTGGATGTCCCCGCGTCTCCCGGCCTCTGCACCCTGCAGCTTGGCTCTCGTCTCGTCGCTGCCAGGGGGATACAGAGTCCCCTAGGGCGGAGTGGGCTCGGAGTCCGGAGTGCTGGGCACACCACTGGCTTCCCGAATTTTCCCAGGTCGCCCAGCGTGGCCTCTGTGCTTCTGGGGTTTGTAGTCAGCAAGACCTGGTAACGAGTCCGGGCCGCAGCTTCCAACTTTTTCGAAACCTTGTGGAAATCGCCAAGTCTCAGTTCCTGGTGTGTAAAGTGGGATAAGTAGTATCTGCCTCCGGGTCGAATACATGTGCACATTCACCGCTCGTTGTGCCTGTGCCCGGCGTTAGCAGTGCTCGCAGCCGTGGGGGTGACTCATCACCGCCTGAATTTTGACAGACATGAATCCATGGGCAAAGGACTGCCCTCTGTGGGGCACCTTCGGATGATGGTCGGCTCATTTTTTTCTTACGTTGTACACAGCCATTCTAGATGAACAATAAATGATCAAGTTGTGATCCAGAGAGGAATCTGTTATTTTTGGCTGACTGCCCTTTTCTAGGTAAACCTGGGCTCCCTCGAGACCCACCCTAGGGGAGCCCTGAGCTGACGTCAGCTGACTGCTAAGGGGAAGGTAGAGTCCTGCGTCTACTGAGTCACAGGTGGGACACGGGCTGAGGTGCGACCAGGTGGGGAAGGCAGAAGACAGATCACTGAGAGGAGAGGCTGGCTGGCTGGGCCCTTCTGGGTTCCACATCCGGAAGCCAAGCACAGTTGTCCCTGATCCTTACTGCTGGTTAGAAAATGACCAGTCAAAAACCTTTGGATTAAGGAATGCTGGCCAATGAAATTTTATTGTGAATTAAATGGCCTCAGGTTTCTTGTAAGCACACCAAGAGAGAGTGAATGAGATCTCTGGAGAGAGATCACTGAGAGATAGTTTAGGGGCAGGGTAGACAGAGCACCCTGGACACAGGGAGCATCTGGGGTGGGGAGGTGAAGTGGGGGGTCGCCTCCTTCCTTTCTCCCCGGAGGGTGTTCATCCCTCCTGCTCCATGTCCAATGTCTCAGTGCAGAGGCTACTGGAGGCATTTCTGTTGGGTCTGCCCGTGTGGGCCCAGGGCCCTGCAGCAGGCCAGAGGGCTGCTTCTTCCCGAGCCCATCAGCCTGCCCACTACCACACCTCCCTGGCTGCGCTTCGAATCGTCTGTCTGAGTCTCCTGGGCCCTGCTCACCAACCGGGTCATCTGACCAGTAGGCTGGTGATTAGAATTCACAGGACTTTGTTCTTCTTTGTAGGAATGAAGAAAGCTTGACTCCCAGGACACACAGGCCTGCAGTCCCTGGTGTGATGAGAATGTGGGACTTGCCGTCCTGAATTAGAAAAGCAAGGCAGTAACCGTGGGCCCTGACTCTGTTCATCAGCGATGAGAGAAATGGAAGCCTTAAATTCTAGGGATAAAAAGAGGGTCCTTCCCACCTGGATGACAGCCGAGGGGCCTGAGAAGAGAACGAGGGCAGCGAAGACCCCGAAGAGGAGGAAAATGGCTGTGGTGCCTGCGGCTGCAGCAAGGTGGGACGATTTGGGGCCAGGGTGCTCCTGGGGAGTCAGGAGGAGGGGGAGGGACTTGGTGACATCACACTTCCTGGGGCGGGGCCCTCCAGTGTTGGCAGAACAGTGAGGTGGGTGGGTGTTTCAGACCATGTCTCTTCAGCTCTTACAAGGCTCCCAGGCTGTGTTAGGGGGGCTGCGTGAGCTCCCTCCACACAGGCAGACGCCTCTGCCTCTTGGCGAATGTCCACCGTCAGGTCCCTCAGCTCTAGACCGTGGCTTCTGTTCTCAGGGTTACACACATCAGCCAAGCTGTCAAATATCAGTTGTCTAAAAATGCCACTGTCTTCATTGGCAACAATAATCATGACCAGTGGGCAGGATGAGTGGGCCTGGCTGTCCAGCCTTCCCGTGTACAGATCTCCTGAGACAGGAGCAGTAAGCCACCAGGCAGCGTGAGATCAGAGGCTGGGGGCTGGCTAGTCGGGCTGCTGGTGAGGGAGTGTCCCTGAACTCCCCTGACTGGGCACTGGATGCTCAGTGCTGCTTGCCTGGCTCTTCCTTTGTAAGAGAACTTTTCTTTTTTTTTTTTTTTTAATTTTTTTTTTAATTTATCTTCAGAGGGGAAGGGGAGAGGGAGAGAGAGATCAGTGTATGGTTGCCTCTTGTGTGTCCCCTGCTGGGAACTGGCCTGCAACCCAGGCATGTGCCCTGACTGGGAATCAAACCGTGGTTGCTTGATTCCCAGGCCTGCGCTCAATCCACTGAGCTACACCAGCCAGGGCAAGAACTTTTCTTTAAAAAAAAAAAAAAAAAATTAATCTTTGCCTGAGGATATGTTTGTTGATTTGAGGAGAAACATGGATTGGTTGCCTCCTGTACCTGCCCCTACCAGGAATCGAACCCACAGCCCTTTTGGGTAGGGGGTGGCACTCCCACCAACTGAGCCAGCCGACCAGAGCTCTGAGGCTTCTCAGTGGACCAGCCTCCTTCTGTGATTGTCCCGGCCCTTCCATGCTGTGCTCCTGCATTCAGCTGGGCGTCAGGCAGGCCTCTGCCTGATGTTCTGTTTACTGCTCACACCTGGGGTGTGTGTGTCAGTTTAGCTCTCAGGAGTGGCCATCATGCCCTATTTCCAGATGCCCGGGGTCGTTGGCAGAGGGTGGGAAACACCCCTGTTCCCTCCACGACCCCCCCTATGCTGCTCAGCAGTCACGAGGAAGGAAGTCGCGTTGGTGCTTTGAGGAAGCTGCCGCTCTTATCCCCAGCGAGAAGGCCCAGGGATGAGCTCTCTTGCTGTCCTCTGTCCTCACGAGGGCCGTGTGTCCCCATGGGCTGCACCATGCCTTTCTTTCAGACCACCCACAGTGAGGACCGCGTACTGCTTGAGTGAGGCCGAACTCGTGGACGTTGCTCTGGGCGTCCTGATCCAGGTAGAGTCAGCTGTGTCTGTTCTCACTCTTCTGACCGCACACTCCTCACCAGCTGAAGCTAGACTAGACTCAGCCTTTGGCTAATGTCGTTAGAACAGGCGCCCTGTGAACTCAGGCAGCCTCGGGAGCCCTCTCACCTGTCCCCTTTTCCTCCACCTGCCCCTTGTCTCACGAATCTCTCTTGGCCCCACCCCCCGGGATGTGTGCACTGGGGAGGGGTGGCCCCGTGAGGGAGAGCAGCCCTCTGTGGGTGGGTGGCTCTCGTGCCGGGGTGAATGCAGAGGGGACAGGAAGCCTTTCACTGCTGCCGTCCTCTGAAGGTCCAGAGTGGGGCGAGGTGACTTCGGGCTCCCCCACGCTCGGCAGAGCAGCGCTGCGGTCTCCTCGCTCCCTGGCGAGAATACGAATCGCAGCACCTGAGAGCTGGGCAGCTCTGTGTTGCTGCCCAGGCGTTTGACCATGTTACGGTCTCATTTAATCCTTGGAATAACCTGCTGATACAGTTTTTTCAGACACTGTGACTCCCGTTTTATAAAGGAAGACGCGGAGGCCTGGGGTCTTCCCTTAGTTGCATGGCCGTGAGTGGAGGGGCTTAGGCTGCACTCAAGTTTTGTTTCCTGTGCCCCTTTTGTCGCACCCCGCCCTCCCAGACCAGCTTTTGCTGTTTGTTTTTCTTTTCTACTCAGGTATTCCTCAGGCCCTGCCTGCTTCTCCCCCAGGCTGGCCTTGATTTCTTCAAGAGCTGCGGAGAGGTGGTGGGAAGGGTGGCGGGGGGGGGGGGTGGGGGGGGAGGTAGAGCGGCCACTGATTTGGGAGAAGTCACATGCTGGCCGCTGGACGTGATTTACACAACTGGCCGACACGTTAGGGAAATAAATCACATGTGTCTTGCCTTCAGAGCCGAAAACAGGAAAAGGTCTTGGAGCAGCTGCCTCTGGCCGGCACTGATAAACCAGCGCTGTGCCCCACCTGCTCGGAGTTACCCAGTCCTGGGAGCACGAGGGAGGCTGAGGACAATGGCAGCGGTGCCCGCCCCTCAGGCCTCAGCCCTCCTCAGGGACCTCCGGGCCCTGGCTCGGCCTGCAGCAGAAGCCCCGAGGAAGAGGAGGACGTGTTCAAGTACGTCAGAGAGATATTCTTCAGCTAAGGGACGGACTCCTGGCACTTTGTGTCCAGAACAGTTCAAGGAAGCTAGGCTTTGGCTCCCTGCCAGGGCGGCTCCCAGCTCCACACCCTTGGGCTGGGGGTCCCGGAGCCAGGAGCCCGTATTCCTCTCTGCACGGTGGCCGCTGCCGGCTCAGGGGGTCTGCCAGCACAGCTGTCTGTTGTGTTCAGTTACCAGGTGCCAGGGAGAATGAGGTCGTGGTGGTCAAACTTCCCCGCATCAAAGAATCATGTTAATGATTTTCAGACAAAATAAAGTGTGGCTGCTAAATCCACCGGAACTCTACAGTTTAGAGAGCACTGTCTCTCCCTAGGGGGGAAGCCTGATTTCAAAAGTTTCCGCCGACCCCCCGCGAGGCAACCCATCAATCCATGGGCCCTTCCTCGGCAGCCCCCTCCCCTGAGCTGCCCTCTTCCTTCTACTTGGTGGCCTTGGCCTTGGTCCCTGGGCACTCGTAGAATGGGACAGGACCCCAAGGAAACACTAAAGACAAGAGGTTGTGGCCGGGCCCATATTACCTCTGTATTCAGTGTGCATGTAACAGATGTAAAAGGAGGTGACCAATGGCTGTGTAGGTTTTACAATACATAGGCACTGAAAAATACACAAAATCCCCAACGCACAGGTTGCCCTTGGACCCTTTCCAAGTCCAGGTTTCGCAGTGAAGGGGTATGGCGTCCGAGGAACAGTTTAGTCCCATTCGCCTTCCCCTGTCCCACACACTGCCAGGTGTGCTGTTTGCAGAGACTCCCTCAGATCCCTCCTGAGCCTTTGGGAGTGGTGTCACGGGGCGGGGGAGGGGGGAGCTTGCTAAGCAGGCCCCCAAGGACCCTGCGGTGCTTTCTCAGTCTCCCTGTGCCGTGTTTGTTGCCACAAACCTCCCCTGGGTCTCTTTTTGGCCTGTGGCAGATCAGCCTGGAAATCTGGCCCCGTGACAGGAACCCTTCTCGTCCCACCATCCTGAGAATCAAGTAAGAATCGCTTACTTGAACCGGTTAATAATCAAGGCAAGAATTCTCGTGACAGCATGCTGCATGGTGTTAGTAGTCCTGAAGGACAGACAGCCCGGCACTACCAGGCCTCAGGTCTGGCTGCCCCAGCTGCCCCGGCCTCTTGACTCCGGTGCCCCTCCTCGCTGGGGCCTGCTAGAGCTTGAGGTGAGCATTAGCTATGAGACAGCGTGGCTGAGAAAACGGACCAACCCACGAGTCCTCTGGCACCTTCTCTGAGCATCGTTCAGACTGAGCCCTTGCAATCAAGCACGTGAGCCTTTGGGCAGGACTAGCAGCTCTCAAGCTTGCTCAGCCCAGTGCCCTCTCCCTTCTGAGGGAACCCAACTGTGGCCATAAGCAAGAGGATGAGTAAGGCCTGGGCAAGGCCCAGAGCTAGACAGCCGGGCCCCAGGAGGGTCAGGCTGACCCACTTCCAGGCGGAGGTGAGGAAGAGGCCCAGGCCGCCGGCTAGCAGGGTGGAGGCCGCCACCAGGAAGCACACGGCCAGCTGCCACTCGCCCTGGTTACTGTTGCAGCGGGCCAGCAGCAGGGTCTGGGAGACGAAGAGGGTGAAGACCGGGGCAGCGTACACGCAGACCCTGGCCAGGGCCAGCCCGGCCCAGGGCACGCCCAGGGCCGCCAGCTCGGGGGACGCGTAGCACCGCAGGGAGCCGGCCGTCTCGTTCCACAGGCAGAAGTTGAAGAAGCCGATCCGCAGGTTGGGCAAGTCGATGAGGTTGCCAGCCTCCAAGATGAGAGCGTAGAACAGCAGGCAGAAGGCCGAGACCACGAGGATCATGATGCCGAGGAACAGCAGCTGGTTGCCCCACCTTGACCTTGGGCTGAACATCGTGTCTTGTCCTTGGCAGGGCCGCCCTCCTGGGGACCTGAGGGGAAGTCATACTAGTGAGGGTACAGCTCTCCCTCCCACTGTCTTCACAAGCTCACGCCCTCCCTTCTGGAATTCCGTAAAGGCCCAGGGCAAACTCCCATCCTCTCGCGGAGGCAGCCTAGCGCCAGAACCCAGGCAGCAGGCGCCTCTGTGGGCTGAGTTCAGGACGGGCTCTCCCAGTGCTTGAACATGCAGCGTGGACACCGAAGGGCACTGGAGACATTTGTGCTGGGTTTCTCAGACCCTGCTGAGGGTCCTGGACACCCGTGGGGCCGCCTTGGAGCTGTCAGGGTGGCCGTCACGGGGCCACAAACCCGTCAAACCAGAACTTGTGGGGTTGGGGCAGGCACTGGCGTGCTCTGGAAGCCCCGCAGCCCATTCCGAGGTGAGCAGGGTTGAGGGCCCTCTGTGGAGACACCCAAGTTTGCCTGCCTGGGAACCCCTCAGTGGGCTGAGATGAGATGCTGCCTGCTGATGGAATCCCATCTGTAGTCGCTTTTCCCAGACAACGGTAATGACATACATTGATTATAAAAAATCTCAGCAAAGATTTTTTAAAGGAAAAAATATAAAAAAGCTTTCCCTCCACCACATATGTAGAACCACTGTTAATCTACCAATATTGTGCCTCTGTATTTTTAGATAATAATACCACTGAAAAGAATGCTTTTCTCACTAGGAACTGTGAATACTTTTCAAAGCTGTTAAATGTTCTTCAAAAACATGGTCAATGGCCCCAGCTGGTGTGGCCCAGTGAATTGAGTTCCGGCCTGTGAGCCAAAGGGTTGCTGGTTTGATTCCCAGTCAGGGCACATGCCTGGGTTGTGAACCAGATCCCCAGTAGGTGGCGTGCAAAAGGCAACCACACATTGATGTTTCTCTCCCTCACTTTCTCCCTCCCTTCTCCTCTGTTGAAAAATAGATAAAATTAAATCTTAAAAAAAAAAAAAAAAAAAAGCACGGTCAATGGTTGCGTAATAGTCCCTGTCACAGATTTACCCATTACACTAGTATTGAACAAATTGTTTCCATTTTTCGCCATTATAATTGGTAGTCAAGGAAAGTGCTAGCGATCTCACAGCGCAATTATTGAGTCAAGGAAACAGTAATACTCTTTGGTGACTGTATTGCATGTTGCCAGATTGATCTCCAGAAAACTAGCTAACTGTAGCATACAGCCTGTATCTTCCTCACTATTTCTGAAGGATTGTTTCACTACCCCTGTAATCCGAAGGACTTCCCCCAGGTGGCATTTAAAACAGTAGTCTGCACACCACGTATTTATACACTTTGCACCACGAAACCCGGCAGTTTTCATGCTGCAGTGCCTGGGAGCCCAGGGCTGGGGCCGGACCGCAGCGGGGCATCCTGTCAGTCACCCAACCAGGAGCGCCAGGTGGCGTCCAGCAGTGAGTTGAATGGCACCATTGGTGGCCCTGGGGAGAGGCTCCAAGACGCAGGAGACCAACTTCTGAAGGGACCCGTAGGAGGAATGGTCCCCTCTTCCTTCCTAGGGCTGAAGGGGTGACCATACCACATATCTGTTCTGTGGCACCAGAAAGGGACCAAATGGGGAAAGGTCACCGTATGAGGTGACCGGACGTGGGACAGGTGGAGGAGAGGGCAGCCTCCTAGCCCATCACAGAATACCCTCCACTGGGCACCTTATGAAAAACAGAGATTCAGCACGGCCGCATAGCGAGGTTGGAGCATTTTCCGTGCACCGGAGAGCTGTGGGTTTGATTCCCGACCAGGGCACATACCTAGTTTGTGGGTTCAGTCCCCTGTTGGGGCACATACGGGAGCCAACGCATCGATGTTTCTCTTTCTTTCTCTTTCTCTCTCCCCACCCCCTTCCTCTCTCAGGTGAGGACTAAAAAAAACAAACAAACCAGAAATGTATTCCTCACGGTTCTAGAGGCTGGATGTCCAAGATCAAGGTGCCAGCAGATTCACGGTCCGGCGCAGCCCGCTTCCTGGTTCAGAGAGGAGACCTTCCGCTGTGTCCTCACACGGCCAAAGGGGCCTGGGAGCTCTCTGAAGCCTTTTTATAGGAATGTAGTCCCCCCCCCCCCCAGGGCTCCACCCTCATGATCTCATCACCTCCCAGAGGCCCCACCTCCCATAACATCACATTGGGGTTAGGTTTCAACATAGGATTCCCGGGCAGTCTCTGGCAGGTGGCTCTATTTAAAGGACTCAGGTGAATGCAAATCACAAGAGGCAAGATTCACTGCCGGCCCAGGAATGTCCCCTGGGGTGAGGCAGGGGCCCATTAGGACAGAAACAGAAATCTGCACAGTCAGGGCTGGAACCCACGCTGCCAGCTCCTGACCCAGGGCTTCTGGCTGTGGAATCCCCTCTGGGGAGCTCAGAGACTGGAGAGTGGGGGCCCCCCTCAGCAGAGGCCCTGGGAGCTGCCCCTGCAAGCACCCACCCTCCATGTCTTTGGAGGCCTGAGTCGGTGAGAACCTGAGAGGCCGAGGCTCAGCTGAAGGTGGTTGTGTGATTGCCGGGGCCAGGATGCTTGCTACAGAAAGATCCGTCAGAAATGGAAATGGGCTTCTTTCCTCCTCAGTTTATTAGACTGGTGCAATGAGAAGTTTTGACCAGTTCAGACCTGGTAGGGGCAAAACGCCCAACAGGGACACATTTTGCATATGTCACAGATTTCGTACAAGCATTTTCAGCGGAGCTGAGTGTTGCAGGGTGGAAAATGGGCTTCCAGGACCGGAAGCCCCGTGACTGTGCTGTAGGGATTGAGCTTCGGCTCGGCCTCACTGTGCGCAAAGGAACAGGCTGGGAGCTGCCTTTGCCGACGCTCCTTCTTAGTCCTCCTATATCAAGGCTGTATATTCGGGTTCAAGAAAGCATGATTAAGCATTTTTTACTTGAAAACAGGGCTCGGATGGAAGATTCATGAGACTTCTCGGAAGACTGCGTCAGCCACCTTCCACCCCAGGACAGGCCTTTGTCTTCAACTTCCTCTTTTTCTCTCAACTGACCTTTTGCAGATTCTCAGTGAAACAAACTAGAAGTGGGGTTAGGGAGCCCCCCCGGCCAGCCACCAGAGACGGCGATTCTTCCTGCCTCTCCATGCACTTACTGTGCATGAGAGCTCAGTCCCAACTCTGATGCCTGGTGCCTGGGGCTCGTTATTAGCTGTCCTGCCGCCACCAATGGAAAGAAGTCTGCATTTCTCCATTTTGTCTTTTACCTAATCCTGGAGATTCCTTTGCCTCCTCTCACCTCCTTCCCTACCACAGTGGATTTCATGGGACCCTCCTTTCATCTCCTCTTTTGATTCTAAGGTATAAAATAAGCTGCAAAATGGGCATTCTTCCGAGGCTCTGAGATCTTGTTTTCTGGCACATGTCGTCACTTTGACTCAAATAAACCCATAAAGCTTCTCTACAAATTTGAATGTTTTTTAAACGGACACCTTCCACCTGCAGTTTGGGAGAACACTGCTCTCAAATCATCCTCTCCAGTGCGAGACATCCTCGAGTGTTTCATCTTTGATGATGACAAACGACACACCATTGTCACCGTGTCTGTTCCCTGAGCAAAGCTCAGCCTTTCCCAGTGTTCACTGACCACCTACGGTTTTTCTCCCATGAAGTGCTCTTAGCTCCTTCGTGGTTTTTTAAATGCTCGTTTCTAGTTCTTGTTTCTCAGTCTGTAGGGCCCCTCTATAAATAAGGCGGTGACCCTTTCGCTGCCATAATCGTCGTGACAAAGTACAGCCCCCCTGCTGCAGGAGGGCTCCTGGTCCCAGACTCGAATTTAGACTCCACATCAGAGAGAGCGTCCGGGCTCGCCTGCTGTCACTTCAGAGTCCCAGTTCGGGACACAGAAGGAAAATATTCTCAGAGTCTTCCTTTGAGGCCGCTTGTTTGTTTGTTTGTTTAAGGCTAAGCATCTCTAAAATTTTCACACTGATGGGATGGTGACTCGGAAGAGACGCAAATGCCGCCCGTTAGAAGTTTTGGCCTCGTCAGTTTCTCGTGTGGGCAGAGTGGGCGTCCGCGAGGCCGTGTCTGAGGGAGGACGAACATCCCGGCAGACCGGCGCGGGGAAATCCCGCTGCCGGTCCACCAGTGCTGGGAGTCAGGGCCCTCGGCGGTCCAGGCCCAGAGCCGGGACCCCCGCAGGCAGGGAGCATCCGGCTGCATCCTGGCCTGTCTCCGAGTAGGAAGTCTTCCCTGGAGCAGAAGCAACACTCAAGACGGGCTGAGTGAGAAGGCAGGTCCTGCCTTGCTGCTCACATTTGCTGATTTAGTTAAGATGCCCAGTCGCAGAATCAAGGGGACTTTACGAGCTGTGTGTGTGTCTGTCCTTTTTCATGGAGAAAGGAGTGGGGCTCCGATATCTGTCTCCCGGGAAAGCTTCGTACCCTTTCCTTACACGCTACTCATTGCATAACTCATAATCAAATATCGGTCGTACACTTATAACTTCTAATTTGTCACTGCTAAGTCTTTACATATGACATTTTCATCCTGTCCCAATATCTGAGGTCCACACAACACTCCCTTCTCCTCCACTTTGTCTTACACAAAAGAAATCCCCCCCCAAAAAAAGACCTGGGTTTAAAAAAATTTTATGTCAGTCTTCCTTCATTTAGAGCTTGGTTTATTTAGTCTCTGGTCAGTTACCCGACTTCCGGCCCACACAGCCTGGTCACAGGAGGTGTGCCGGAGGCCAGCCTCACAGAGCACGAGGTCCACGCAGCCTTTTCTCTTTAATCCTCACTCAAAGAGAGACGAAGGGGAACGGGAGGGGGGGGGGGAGGGAAATGTCAATGGGTTGCCTCCCCAGTGTGCCCTGACCCGGGATTGAACCTGCAGTGTAGGTATTGCCCCAACTGGAGACTGAACCCACAATGTTTTGGTGCAGGGCACCATGCTCCAACCAGCTGAGCCACGTGGCCAGGGCCACCTACGCAACTTTCGTGTCAGATGAACACATGGACACCACCAGTGGAAGCCTATT